GTGGCAGTTTAGGGTTTAGGGTTTATCAAAGGGGAAAAGGAGAGACCCTTAAAGGGGACCCCTACCCTATAATGGGCTATATAATGGGTATATACTAGCTATATTAAGGGTATATACCCAGGGGTCCTTATTAAGGGTCCCTCCTTTTCCCCTTTGAGTTTAAGTAATGGGATGTCAAATGCGACGAAACAGGGATTGAGCCACAGCTTTACCATCCCTAAACCCCTTCTTCGGCAGTAGTTGAATTCTACCGATGGCTATCCTAGTGAAGGGCGACTCCTGCTGGTAAAAGCTACCACAACAAGTCTACACTAGGTAGGCCTTTGGGATGTGTTTTCCTCTTATTTTCTTTCATATTGGGGGGGAAGCGGATCTCATTTACGAACTTTTTTGGAGGCTTCGACAGGCCAAGCTAGCTACCACGCACGGTTAGAGCACTCGAAGAGTAATTGCAGCGATTGAAGAAGATGATCAGCGGACGCGATGACAGCCATAATAGCGAAGGGAGCAGGGATCATGTCACGGCTAACTACGGTCCGTCAGGAGTTTCCGATCGTCGTCGTCGTAGTAGTAGTAGTACCGTAGTAGTAGTAGTAGTAGTAGTAGTAGTAGTAGTAGTAGTAGTAGTAGTAGTAGTAGTCGTAGTAGTAGTAGTAGTAGCAGTAGTAGTAGGAGTAGTGATAGTCAAACTAAAGGACTACCTGCAGGCTCACCAGCAGAAAGGACTCACTGGACACGAACACCATTGCTAACAAGTCTTCCTGGGCACAGAACACATCAGTAAGAACGCCTACACCGCCTCCGTTTACACATGTATGACAGCAGTCTTAAGTAGTGGTTGCAATACTAGTGGTACATGATGAAGAAGGCTGTCATTCTAAGCCGACCGGACCGCACGCAACCCTAGACATTGACCCTAATCCCCCTATAATCTCCAGCTCCCCAAGGCTTGGACGGTGCGTCCCCGGATCTGGAAGCAGCCATTGATGGTGCAACGGCCGATTTTCGTCGGGTGATTCCCTGATTTACTATCCTGTAATGACCCCATACTGCGCCGGGCCGATAGTTCGACCCACTAGCTTCGACATGCTACAACACATAGGCCTCCACCCTCCTCCGCACTTTGAGGAACTCCGCAAGAGCCTGTATGTAACATGATACACAAGGGGGTCGAAACTTTCGGCCCCGTGATGTAGTAGTTCCTTTTTGGGATTGCCTTATAGGATTCTAAATATGAACCCAAAAAGGGACTACTATGGGGCCTTAGGGTAGAGAGCCTAAACTGATGCGGCTTTGGGGTTTTCAAGCTTCGAGCATGGCAGGGCTTCAAAGCCCTAAAGCCCTAAAGCCTTGTTGTTGGCAAGCTTTTGCTTCCAGTGCAAGCACTGCTAGGAGCTGCGACGTAGTCCTGAAGTCTACCACCTCCCTTCTTTTTGAAGGTTTCGGTGCGAGTTTCGGGTTTTTGGGGGTCCCTGGCCGGCTTGAGATCTGAAACCCTGAGCCCCAAAGCCTTTAGGGTTTAGGGTTTAGTGGTTTATATAGGGTTTAGGGTTTAGGGGTTTATATAGGGTTTAGGGTTTAGGGGTTTATATAGGGTTTAGGGTTTAGGGGTTTATATAGGGTTTAGGGTTGAGGGTTTAGGGGTTTAGGGCTAGGGCTTAAAGGAGCACTTAACCCCACAGCCTGTTAACAGAACCCCAAACTCTTAACCCAAGAGCTGTATAGGTACCCTAAGCCCTAAATATTTGCGGGAGGTGCCCTGGAAGCTCTCTTCCTCCGGCAACTGATGCTTGCATCTTGGCCTAGTGGAGCTTTGCTACTGTCGGATGTAGCACAGTTCAGGGTTCAGGGTTTGGGGAAGGGGTTTAGGGATTAGGGTTTAGGGTTTGTTGGAGTCTGTTAGAGTTGAGGATGAGATGGCTCTTTGGGGGATTGCTTTGGGGTAAGCTTCTTTCAGTTTGAGAGTTGCGTGTTTCGGGCTCTTGAGCTGAATTTTACGTAGGTTTTAGTACCCCCAACCCTAAACCCTAACCCTAAACCCGAAACCCGTTTTGGGGTTTAGTGCGGCGTTCTTCCCACTGCAGAGCCCCAAGTCCCCAAGCCCCGATAGTAACCGTATCGTAACCCTAAACTATCTCTATAGAATCCCTAAGCCCCAACCCCTACAGTAATCTGTTTCGTTCAGAGTTTCAGCCTATGTTAGTGATTTAAGATTTGCGGGCTCAGGGTTTAGAGTTTTAGGGCTGTAGAGCCTAAGATTTAGGGCGAAGTTGAGCATCACGGTTCACTTTAGAAGCTGTGGAATGTTTACGTTCAGGACTGCTCACATGGTGGAAAGCGACGCTCGAGCTCGACTGTAGGATGCGTGTTTCATAACATTTTATGAGTAGTAGAATATATAGGCAACCTTTAATCTTGTGGGGGCACGACAATCCTTTATGATCCCAAAGTTTAAGCGTGACTTCCCCTGCTGGTACCAATCGGTATCCTCCCAAATATTAACCCAAGCTCGGAGGAACCCTTTCTTTCTCTTTCTCACGCTGAACTTTGAGTAGCTGGTATTTGGGTAGTTGTCAAAATTAGGGTCCCTAATTGGCTAAATAATAGGTGCCGTACTATAGTGGGGACCCTAATTTTGGCAACCGCCCATTTGTAACGGTCAGAATGGATCTTGGAGGAATCGCATGTCCAACAGACACGGCAGCTGCGCGTTCCAGCTCCGCAGCTGTTTTTTTCTTGGCGACCCCGCCGGCCTGCGGCCTGCCGCCCAAGCTGTTGCCGAGTTGTCGCACGCTGGCCACACAATTTTGCGAAGACGTCCCTCTGGATTCCTCCACTGAGCAGTAGCCACCGAAGAGGCATGCGCCAGCCGCTCCCATCACAGGGAAGCTGCTCTCCTTCTGCTGCTGGCCGGTCCATGATCCTAGTGCGGTAGCAGCAGACTGTCGCATCTGTGTGTAGACGTGTGCCCGGGTCTGGGTACCGACACTCCCCAGCTCCGGCTGAGGATGCACACGTGCTGCAGTGGTATCACACAGTCTTGCTGGCGAGGAGCGCAAGGATTGCGAATCTGCGATTGGCTTTGTTTACCATCGTCAACACATGCTCCTGCATCGTGACAAGTTCTTGATTGTTCAAGCATTCTGCTACCACTCTGGCCCGTAAAGGCTTTTGTCGGTTTGAGCTCGGCGCACCTCTTATGGCAAACATAAAGTCCAAAATCCATAGTTACATCGGTAGTTCTCGAAATTCGGGTCCCTTTTAGGATCCGTTTCAGAAGGGTGCCCCACCTTCTTCTGGGCTCCTGAAAGGTCACCCTGTAGAGAACTGACTGCACCACCAAACCCATGCTCGTCGTGCTCCCAAAACCAGGGCCCTTTCCCTGAGGTATATATAGTCTACTCCGGACGGGAATGAACGTTTAGGCTCCCCGGTTGTATCCTTTTGCCCTTTTTCGTTTTAGGTTACCTGATTCTGCTTATTTTCCAATAGTAGGAAGAAGAGTACCCTCATTTTGGGGGTGCTACTGGTAAATCTAGAATCTCTTGGAGGTGTCTAGCCTTTAATCAGCCTCCAAAATTCTGTTCAACAGCAACCTGATGCAAAGCCCTGTCAGGTGGAAGACCGGCTGGTAAAGAAGCTCACCCGCCCTGATTTGAAGGGCTTTCGTTAGGCAGTTTAATTTAGGTAACCGCGCTATGATAATCAAATTTGTACGGTCTCCCATTATGGGAACTGGTCTCCCATTATGGGAACTTAGCTTAAGCTCCATGCGAGCTTAACGCGCAGAGTTGTGAAAATCAAGAATAGGGGTGCAAGGAGATTGTTGAAAAGTCAGGTACAGGGCTCATGATACATGGGTCTACGGTCTTAGTATTTTCAATATGCGACTTATTTCTTGCGTTATAATGGTTGAAGGATAGTAGGGCTTCAGATGCGTAGGGTCAAGTTGGAGACAGCTGGTTTTCGGAGCCCACACTGTGCTCGCAAGCTCCCAGCCTCACGTCAAGTGCTGCTTACCGTCTGCTGTAACGGCCTTGCGGCTCGCCGGCGCCGTCTCTTGCCGAGACTACAGCGTCGTATCTCGAGGGCGACGAAGCCATCATCGGCCTGGCCGGTTACCTGGCCGGCGCGCGTCAGACTTTCGGGCGTCTGTTGCAACGCGGTGTAAGGTTGATAGGCCTCGAGAAAGACCCATCCGTGACCGCCAACTTCGATAACTATGGAGGCTGTCCAACCAGAAAGGAGCTGCGTGAAGCTGCCTCAGCCTACATGAGGTTCAGCGGCTCAGATGAAGCATTCGCTGGGCCGGCTGATATGGATTTGTAGGGTTTCAACATCTAGGTACTTGTATTGAGACTCAGGTACCGCAACTGCAGTTCTCCTAATTTTGGCACGGCTAGCTGTCTCAGTAGCTGTCTAAAGCATTTTCAGGGGTTGCAATGATTTGAAGTTGTCCCTAAACCCTAAACTCCTAACCCCTACTGCAATTATAGTGTAGTGATATACCCCGGCCCCAGGTCCCCGATCGGTGATTGAGGCTTTGTCTTACCATGTCCCTTGAGCCTTTAAGCACGTCGGCCGGTGGTCCAAGGTCGCATGCTTACGACTTGTCGGGTTTAGGAGTGGCAGAAGTGCATGGAGTTTTAGGGTTGAGGGGTTAAGGTTATAGTCATGGCCTGCGGTTTGTCCTTGGCATACTCCGAAACGGCTGGTTTTGAGGAGTTTTGTCACGAATCTGGGCCCAAGGCTCGGAGATGCCTGGAGAGTTTTTTGGGTTTCAGATGTTCTGACGTCGAGCTTCATGGTTAGGGCTTACCTTCGCCTCACATGACCTACCTTTCTAAGCCACACCACAGCCAGATCACAGCCAGGAATCTCCGAGAAACGGTCCATGAAGTGGCCGCAGTGCCTTTGAATCCAGCTGCTGCGCTGGTGGCATGGTCACAAAAGAACCCCGATGCTGATTTCCCAACGCGCGGCGCCAGGTCAGCCGACGGATGCCGACGGAAATCCTTGCAGCAGCTTCGCCACCACGAAAACACCATTGCGGAGGTGAAGGCCCTGGTGGCTCAACTGCAGGAACGGGAGGTTACGACAGACTGGGAATGTCAGATCCTGGCAAAGGACGTGGGCCAAGGCATTATATGCATCTCCACGGGCAGCACAGAGAAACCATCATGCAGCACGGCCTTCGGTTGGGTTGCGACGCCACGCACGAGATCTCCAACTCCAAAGTGAAGCTTTTCGCATTGGGTTGGCTTGCACAGCATGATGACGCCGGTGTCATTCGCAACATATTCATCCCGCTGGCCTTTGCGCTGGCACCATCAGAAGACGGCACTGCAGCCCATCTGCTGCTGCAGAGCACCGATGGATATTTGAAGGAGGCATGCGGATTCACGCTGAACGATGCCAAGGTTGCTCATCCTGATGGGGGCACCGGCCGCATCAAAAGTTCCCAGGACTGCTTTCGAATCGAAGTGCCTTTGGCCAGAAGTTTGCAACACATTGAAAGGAACATCCAAAAGGAAGGTGTCACGAAACTGCGGAGGACAAGTTGGTGGGATACGGTGCAACGCTGGGTCAGCTTCAGCGCATTCCTCCGCAGTGACTCCTTGTTTGATCGTTTTTGGCACCACGCCTTCCCTATTCTCAGGCAGCAGGATGAAGAAATGTTCGAACAATACCTGGCTTCAGACATACTCAGCCACGCGGGTGGGAAATGGACGGCTTGGAGAGCCGGCCCGCTGGAGCCGGGATATCGGCCGCACGCTTTGAACTCCGCGGATTCCTTTTTCAAAGTCCTGGACCACTATGTGCCGGATGAGAGCCTTCTAAGCTTGACAGAAGTTGTCTCCAAGTACGAGCATGTCGGGCGGGTTTTCAAGAAGGAAAGGGAGTGGTCTCAGTTGTGCTTTGCTGTCTCCATGCTATCCACACCCGCAATTTTTGCCGAGATCCCGAACACCTTGAGCGAACGCCCGGAACATTTCCATGGCAAGCAAATTCGCCGTATGAGTGTGGCTGGCATCAAGCGGGTCCTGGAGAGTGGTACACACATCCGGGTGGAGGTCGCGGTGGATGGTGCAACAAGATTGGTCTTCTGCAAGTATCAAGCCGCCGATTTCGATGAGCAGAAGATGCGAATGTTGGCGAAGTTGGAGACGACAGAAAATGCAGATCAAGTGGATGCATGCCTCCTAACCCTTGAAGCATTAACACAAGAAGCGGATGGAACTCACTTCCATCCGCGTGTGCTTCGAGCATTATATGTTCAGTTCACCGCAGTGTACAAGTGCGGTGCGGCAATCCTGGATTCACATCAGACATCATTAGGGAACCCTAAACAGGCAGTTTATTTGGGGTATAGGGTTTAGGATTTAGGACAGACATTGGGGAAGGGCAAGCTCCATGCTAAAACGATGATGTAAACGCTATCTCCCTTAACCACCCTCTAAACCCTAAAACCATAACATCCACTGAACACCCTAAACCCTAAACCCATCATATTTCCCTCAAAACCCTAATCCCTAACCCATAATACCTGAGTTTGGAGTACCATACTTGACTACTTTTTTGGGGTACTTGTTCCTTAAAGGAACCCTTATGAAATGAAAGTCTATACCTTTTTCTCCTTGGTTACATCAAAGTCCAGAATATCTCCTTCAAAGCCCTAAACCCCAAACCCATAATATCTCCTTAAGCAGGCTAAGCAAGGCCTTGCGCCTTGAGCCAACATTCCCCAAACCTGTCGAGCTCGAACTTTCATGTGCGACCTTACATGCTTACGGAATCCACTTTAATACAGTATAGTGTCGCACCATATGGAATATAGTGTTACTGTCGTATTATATACTCATTATGGTATACAATGGTACCGTAGCATAGTAGACTACAGTATGCTGTATGTTAATGCAAATCGTATAGTATACTGTATTCTGGTATAGCGCGGTACTGTAATGCCCTATATACCACACCCCACTATATCCTTGTACTATAGTGAAGTATAAGTACACTATATAATGTATCTTGGGTACCCTGAACCCTGAACCCGAAACCCTGAACCCTAAACCCTCAGCCTTAAACCCTAAACCCTGAACCGCCGCCAGGTACCTCCACAGCGCCAGCCCAGCCAAGGCCCTGGTTCAAGCGGAGAAGTCCTACGGCCAAGCTGCCGAGGCAGCGGCGTGCAAAGCTTGGGGCTTTAATCCGCAAATTCCTGTTTAGGGTGTAGGGGTGAGTTTAGGAGTATGGGTTTAGAGATTGAGGGGTTGGGTTTTAGGGGTTGGGGGTTTAGGGGTTTAGAGGTTGAGAGGTTGAGGGGTTGGGCGTAGGGGTTGGGGGTTTAGGGGTTTGGAGGTTGAGCGGTTGGGGGTTAAGGGCTCTTTTCTAGAGGTTTCGGGGTTGGAGTTTAGGGGTTGGGATTTAGGGGTTTATGGTTCAAGGGTTGCCACAGTGGCGTTCAACCTAATGTTCCCAAAGAAACCTCAATTCAACAAGATCTGAAACTCCTAAAATCTCCTAAGCACTAGACTCCTACCTAAACGTCAAGCCTTGAATTCCTAAACTGCTAAACACGAAACCCCAAACCTTAAATCCTGTTAAGGCTCAAGAGCTGAGGTTTTAGGGGCTTAGTGGAAAAGGTTGTCTGATGAGGCAGAGGTGTAAGACCGACATAGGCCCAGCCCGCGAAGGCCACCGACCCCTGAAATGCAAAAGCATGCCGTGAAGTTAAAGAGGCATCTGGAGCAGGCTTTCAGGTGGAACTGCACATGTAGAGGATCTTGGGCTATGTGTGAAAAACCGTCAACCCTGTAGGATTACGAAGCCATAAACCCTAAACCCTAATGCAGACATCGACCCAAAGATGTTTAGGGCACCATGTTCGGATTTCGTGGTTCGAGTTCTCGAGCTTCAGGGGCCCCAGAATGCTTTCGGGCATTGCGGTACAGGGGCTCAGCTTTCGGAGTTCAGCCCTCAGCCTGAAACACAAAGCCCTAAACCTCAGGCGCAGTTTTTTGTGGATAGTTTTGTGCGTTTCAACGCGAAACCGGTGGATCAGCTTTGCGGGAGTAGGGTCCTAGGTTTGTGTTTGGGGCATTGTGGGGTTGAGGGGCTCCGGTGCCCGAGTTTTGTCAGGCAGGGGGCTGCAGGCCTTTGGCATGATGTCTTCCAGAGTTCCTGCGATTCTTGTCGGCCCGAAGTGTGGTATTCCAAGAGCTGTACGACGAATGCTCGAGGTTTCGTTACACCCATGCAAGATGGATCCTTCAAAGGGGTTTAGGACGGAGCCTACCTTCTCCCACAATCCCAAAAAGCCCTTATCTTTGCAGTCCTTATGGATGGACCATAAACCCTAAGCCTTGTGTCACAGCCTGCACTCCCTACTCTCAATCCTTGCGCACCGAACCGTGCTCCGCCCTCAGCGCTAACTTCAAAGTCTACTGCCTCGCAATGTTTCGTTTACGCGAGGCGACATATACATGTTTGGCTTTGTGTTTGTGTGTGTTTGTGTTTATGCTCGAGTTTAGATGTGATGTAGATAGGCATAGAGTAGTAGCCATTCACATGATGGAGCTGTTCGCAGGACCTGATGCGGCCGAACAGCACTTGGAGCTTTGCGCAGGGGCCCTATGAGCAGTTTTGGCTTTCTGTCAGAAGGCTCCACACTTTGCAGCCCCGCGGATGTGGCAGTGGAAGTTCACTGACCACGCTGTGGGCTTTTTGGGATTTCGATCTTGGGAATCTTTACAGTATAACGGTGCTGCGGATAAGGTCCAGTCTAGGCTCCCTTCTTGAGTTCGTTCTATGAGCCACAGCCAACCACATGAGAAGATGTCCGTCATGCAACCTAGAAGGGGCTATAATTCAAATTTGGAAATTTGCAGGCACGACTTGCGAAAGTGGTGAATACCCAAGTTAGTCAACGTTCGCGCAGCCTGCAGCCCTAAAAGGCCTAAACCCCCAAACCACTTTAGATATGAGCAACAATTTGGCAAAGGTATGGAGTTTTGGTGCATCGTATGATGCAGTTGCACACGGACCCTACGGGTAACTTCCTACGGGTTTGGAAATGCACCTACATGAAGCCCTAAACCCTACCCCTACAACCGTAGGCCCTAAAGTACACCCCTACAGCATAGAAGCCCAGAGACTCAAAAAATATGCTTCACCAACAGTCTCCCCGTTGCAGCAGCTGTGTAAGGACCAAGTACCAAGCCCTTAGCCTAAGCCCTAGGAGCTCTTAGAAGCTCTTTGGGCCAAACCCCAAACCCTAAACCCTAAGCCCTGGGAGCTTTTAGAAGCTCTTTGGGCCAAACCTCATACCCTGAACCCCAGAAAAAGGAAGGCAGCGTCAACCGAAGAACCCAGACCTGGAAAGCTCCAAACCAGAAAGCTTGAACCCTAAATCCCTGAAGCCTGAATCCCCAAAAACCCCGGTTTAGGGTTCAGGACTTACAGAGGCTTTAAGGGCTTAGGGTTCAGGGTTTAGGGTTTAGCCTGAATCCCGAAAAACCCCTTACACCCTGAAAAACCCTGAAGCATCCTGAACCTGAAACCCTAAACCTCCCAAGCACAAGACCCCTAAACCCTAAACTCTGAAGCTGGGAGGACAGGAGTTCTAGCTGTATCTGCAGGTGGAAAAGAGCCCTCAAAAACAAACTCTGAAGCTGACGCCGGAAAGCTCTGAACCCTAGGGATCGAACTTGAGGTCTGCGCAAAAAGAGTTTGTGACAGAGCTGGCGCAAGAGATGAGGTGGGGGCTGGAGGTCAGCGTTTATGGTTTTGGAGTTGTAAAATGTTGAGTAGGCTTCAGGGTTTTGGGTTGGGGGCTTGGGTGTCTTAACTATGGCTCTCGTGTCGTGATTCAGGATTTCTGGGCTTCAGAGAGTCGCTTGCAGGTCCCCTGTGGGATTCGGATGTAGGAGCAGCTGAGCGCTTCAAGCAACATATGGGACTTTCCGAAAATCAGGTTACCTTATTTGGGACCCTAAACCCTAAACCCTAAACCCTAAACCCTAAACCCTAAACCCTAAACCCTAGACTACTATCCAGGGGTACGATATTAGGGCCTCCTATCTTCGGGCTCTCCCATATGGCTTTCCCGAAATCGACGCTTCACCCCAGAGCCTTTCGGCCCGAAAGCCTTCAGGAAGTGGGAGTTTCCGAAAATAGGGAACCCTAATATCGTCGCCTAAATAGTAGGATTCTTAACATAAGGACCCCTAAATAAGGTACCCTTAATTTTCGGAAACTTCCAAATCCCTAAACCGCCGAAATCCTGAACCCTAAACCCTAAGCCCCCCAACCGAACTCTCTTAAGCTACTTGCATTTCGGGAAGGCAAGAGCTAGCTCTCACGGAGGAGCGCCAGAGAACTGCAACAGCCCAAGATGAAGTTGGGTGCTGTGGAGTAGGCCTTTTGTTTGGTTTTAAGATTTAATATAGTATGATTATAGTATAATATACCCCCAAACCTTATTCTACTCTAATGAAGGCCTCTATATATTATGGGTTCAGGGATTAGGGGTTTACAGTAGAAGCCTCAACGTTGGAAACCCACTAGCCTCAACCCTTAAGAGTAATGTATAGGGAATCCCAGCTCTATTTGGCCTTAATCCGGCTTCCAACTCTATGGGGCTTTGCTGTAGGTCCCTAGACCCTAAACCTAAAGTTCCCTTTAAAGGAACCTCCATAGATCCCTTTACCCTAAACCTAAAGTTCCCTTTAAAGGAACCTCCGTAGATCCCTTTACCCTAAACCTAAAATTCCCTTTAAAGGAACCTCCATAGATCCCTTTAAAGGGACTCCCAAAACTTGTGTAGGTTTACTATAAGGTTCGAGCTTCGGGTTTCCCCACCCGAGACCTAGGCGGCTCCAAGGTCAATGGGCATAGTAGGACCTTCTGTTGATGATATGGGAGTTTCCGAAAATAGGGGCTACCTTATTTGGGGGTCCTTATAATAGGGTTCCTACCATTTAGGGTACTAAATTAAGGTCCCCTATTGTCGGAAACTCCCATATAAATCCTGGCTCCTTTAGAGGGATCTATAAGGGTACCCTTAAGGGGCTCCTTTAAGCCATAGGTTCTAGGGATTTTAGGGTTTAGGTTGATGATGCAAATCCTGCATTACCTATAATAAGGAATATACCATTATTCCCATAGTCTAGCGTTTTTAAGGTAATGCAGGGTTTGTATCATCAACCGCAGTGCAGGTAATCATCACAATGGTAATTCAATCCGACCTAGTGTTGACTAGAACGCAGTCGATTCTAAGGTTGTGGTCAGAGTTTCGCATTATTCTCTTCGTATTCTGCGCAAGTTTTCCGCCCCGTCTGTGATGAACCCTAAACCCCTCAACGCTAAACCCCTAAACCCTAAAGCCCGAAACCCCTAACCCTAAAGCACAGTGTCACGCGCAGGTCCCCCTGGTACTGCGGTCACCACGGGGCCAACGAGAGTTTGCGTTTGACGACGGGTTGAACCAGATGACTGAAATCACCTAAAAAGGGCCCTAAACCCGGTCACGCAGAACCTTGAATGTGAGCCCAAACTCCAACTCACTTTAAGCCTTAACTATAAGCTCTAAACCGTAAGCCCGAAAATCTAAATGCAACAGGACAAGCAAAAAGGTCGAGTCTTCCCAAGACTGCCCTTAAAGGGCTTCTTATGAAGCACCGCCCACACACACTCACAAGGAGAAGACTGGGTTTAGGGATTTGCATGGCATTGTGGTGCAGTGCATGTTACATTCTCTGCATTGCCGTGGTATGTATGTAGTTTTCAGGATTTTTGGCTTGAATTTGCAGGAACTCATGATGCGCAAATACGTCCGTGTCACTGTTCCATCTCGTCTGGTAACATTGTCAAGTCACTATTCACAACCTTTCCGTTTTAAGCCTATAAAACCGAACTCCTAGACCTGAGCCCCATTCATAATTGATGCATAGATCCTTATAGACCCTAAACTTCAAAACCTTCAGCCCCCCTTCATACATTAACTCATGCCTGCCGGTGGCTTCTTCCTAAGGCCCAGACACAGCGAGCGACGGCAGACATCATAGGCAAGATCCAGACCCAGCCAGAACCTCAGGCCCCCCAAACCCTAGAACCTCAGGCCCCCTAAGCCTTAAAGCCTAAACCCCAAAGCCTAAACCCAGAACCCCAAACCCAAACCCTAGACCTAAGCTAAGAGAGTGCCCCGATTTTGAGGGGCGTCTGCAGAGTGTACGGACCCCGAATTCGAACCGAAGAAGCACCCAAACGTAATCTGTTGGGTGATAAAGGCGGACATTTTGAGACATCCCAACCCTATGGGTTTTAGTTAGTGCTTTTGAAGTCCCTAGTTGTGTTCACGAGCCGTGGCATAGACTGAGGGGTGGCGAGTTTTGGAGGTTGAACCCGTACTCCCTGAGCTCGAAGATCAAGATCAAGACTCGCAGTCCTCAGGGTTCATTAGCATAGTATATTACAACATACACCAACATCCCATATCTCATGCCAAGTGTTCAGGCCTCTACATTCAGCTGCTACCTCAAGCGCTCAGATCTGTAATGTGCCAGTCGAGCTTGACCCTAAACCCTAGACGCCTAAACCCCTAAACCCCGAAACCCTGAACCCCTAAACCGCCTAAACCCCTACACCCTTAAACCCTAAAACCAGAGACCGAGGATGGACTACTTGGCCGGCAAGCTGCCGCGGCCTCAGTCTCGTGCAGTGCGCCTAGAACGGATATAGGGGCCTTGATAATTACTTATACTATTAGAATAGGGTTCCTATAAAGGGGTATATATGAAGGCTACTATAAGGGGGCTGTTATAGGGATTTAGTATAGGAGCCTAAATCATCACCAATACTATTTTGGCGGGGTTCCTTACTATAATTCTGGTATAACGGGCTCCAAAACCCTATTCTGATTTTTTCCAGGCCCCGATAGTAGTGGGGGTCCTTACTATACTTCTAGTATAATGGTCCCCAAACCCTATTCTGCTTTGTTTAAGGCCCCGATAGTAGACCCTAAACCCTAAACCCCAGAGGCTCTTGGAAACTCCTTGGGCTAAGCCCTATTCCATTATGAAGGTCCCGATAATACAGCAGCACCCTTCTAGATCCCTTGTCTAGGATGCCCAGTAGTACCCTTATTCCCTTTTTGTAGTCCTAGGTTCCTTATAAAGTTGCCCAATACCAACAAGAGAGGCCTTTTTATTCTTAGGTTACTGGGTATCCTAGTTGTAGTAATCCTTATAGACCCCTTTTTAAAGGAACCCTATTCTAGGCATGAAGGCCCCTATAATGAGGATTCAAGGGTTTGGAGGTGTTTACGGTATTCTGCTCCAGGGGTTTGGCAAGGCTAAGAAGGCTGCAGAATTGGGATACTACAGGGGCCTTAATAATTATGAATGGTATTTTGGGGGTTCCTTACTATATTTCTACCCCAAAACCCTATTCTATTTTACGGCCCCTATATTAGATTGGTCTGGCTTCTGTGCCTTTCTCATTCTCCTTGAACAGATGTAAATGCAGCTGTACATATTATACGTGTGCATTAAAAGTAGACCGTTTCGATGTCGGCTTGCACCTCTGCACATCGACCCAACGATCCTCCACACGTGAATCCTGTGTCGACTCCAACAGGGAGCCTGCTGCAGCAAATGGTGCGGGATCTCAGGCCAAGGAAGTTGCAGCCTACGAGCCGGCACACGTGAAGATGAAGGTCCACGTCTTCTTGAACTGCTAACACCGTCTCATTCGATGCGTACCACTGGCGACGGTGTTGAAAGTCAATGGCCGCCTTCGAGAACAACTATGCCTCAAAAAACAGGCTCGCTGGCAAGAGTTGACCCCCGCGAAGGAAGCAACAACGCAACACCACTTGGTGCTGCCGGGCTACGTGCCCCTCCTGCAGGCACCTCTTTAGAACTCTAAAGGAACCCTTGTAATACCCTTTAAAGGAACCGCTTCAATACCCCTTCAAAGGAACCCCACAGAGTCCCAAAGCCCTGAAAAGAAGGGCGGCCCCGGAGAGAAGAACCAAAAACACGAAGACGGACGCCGCAATAGCATGAGGGTTTAGGGTTTAGGGTCTAGGGTCGTGGGCTTCGGCAGGTGATGCTCTTCAGAAGCTGGTCGCTTAGTTGGTGCAAAACGCATGCAGGTTTTGCGGCACCGCGGTGCAGACACGTCTACAACACCCTTTCAACAGCCCTGATAAAGTAACCCGTGTAGAACACTTCAAAAACAGCCGATTCTGTCTTCCGATTGCTAAGGCCCCTATGTGAAGTCTGAAAAGCCGCTTCATGGGGCAACATCAATACAACGCCTCCAAGGAACCCTACTCCATTTAGCATGTAAGGCCATATAGTACAGCCTTCAGTAACAATTAGGTGAACCTGATAGCAGCCTTCAGCAGATCCGTCTCAGAAGCCTTTTCAACCCTTGAAGAAATAGTCTACAAAGCTGCTGCTTGTGGTGGCCTTCCTTTTCGATTCAATGCATCATCTTTACGGCATCAGGGTGTTGGGTTCATTCGTTTTGTACAGCCACGTCGGCTCTTCTGGCATGTGCAGACACTTCCTCGAACCTGGCTTCTCATCGCTGGTTTCGTTTTTGGTGTTCCGATGACTCCTAGTTTTGATCCCTGTACTCCAAAGCCTAGTTTTAATTCCTAGGCCCCTAGACAGAGCCCTAGTTAGGAGGATGAGCTTTTTCGGACTTGTGAACGGAAGCTGCCAGGCGTCAGTCATCGACAGGCGGCCCATGGATGTTCTGGACGTCCGCGGCCTCATTGTAGGGTTTCGTTCAAGGTTCAGGTTTTTAGGGTTTCCCTGCCCGATCTCAGAGTGGCCTTCGCACAGTAGTAGTAGCAGTAGTAGTAGTAGTAGTAGTAGTAGTAGCAGTAGTAGTAGCAGTAGTAGTAGGTAGTAGTAGTAGTAGTAGTAGTAGTAGTAGTAGTAGTAGTAGTAGTAGTAGTAGTAGTAGTAGTAGTAGTAGTAGTAGTAGTAGTAGCAGCAGCAGGAGTAGTAGTAGTAGTAGTAGTAGGAGTAGGAGTAGGAGTAGGAGTTGGAGTTGGAGTCAGCTGCAGAAGCCACGCAGGGGCCCGTCGTAATCAGGAAAATTACTCATTGTCGCCGTGCAGCTTCTAGTGTTGGTCCTACGGTTTAGGGCCCAGGGTAGATAGAACCCTACTATAGACCCCTTTAAGGAACCCTTCAAAGGGACCCTATTCTAATTAAGGCCACTGAACTACACCCTCATAGCAGCCCTTATTGTGACCCTTATAGCCCTTTAAGGAGCCCTTTAAAGGGAGCCCTTTTCTAATTATTAAGGCCCCCATACGGACCCCTAAACTAGGGAGCCCTACTATCGATTCCTTTTGGGAGCCCTTTAAAGGGTACCCTATTCAAACTATTAAGGCCTCTCTAGTAGACGCCCTAAACCCTAAACCCTAAACCGTGTCTTCGTATTGAGGCTTTGAGTTCTCCCCGTCCAAGGTCGTACCGGCTGCCAGGGACGCCCATCTTCGTCTCTGGCCGCAGGGCTCCCGGAAAAGGAGTCATGCCGTTGATGGGGGTTCCTTTAACGGGATCTATAAGGGTACTTCTAAGGTGTTCCTTCAAGGGATCTATAGGGTTTTAGGGTTTAGGGCTTACGATATTTTTCTCAATCCTGCATCACCCTAATGATCCTAGACTATGGGAATTATGTCCGTCTTATGGGTCATGCAGGATCTACATCATCAACTGTATTGCTGCAGATGCTTACCGCCCACAGGTCAAGGCTCCTTTGCCAAAGCCCTGAACCCTAAACCCGTAAATACCTGGCAGGCATCAAAAAGGAGCTTTAAAAAAACAAAAAAAACGTAAACCTTAAATCTCGGACCCCAAACCGCGCCGCTGCCGATCTTTCTTCTCAGAAGCCAGGCAGAAAAAGCCCTTCGGATCTGAAGCTGCGAACCTGACCTCCAACTCAACCCCTAGGGATCCAAGGACTCGTGTATTAAGGCTTTTGGGCCCAAAGAGCATACTATATAAGGCTTTTGGGCTATTTTGATCCCTAGGGAACTTCATTCACTTCACTACGCGGTTTAGGGCTTAACGGTTTAACGGCTCAACGGTTTAACGATTTTGCGGGGTTTCACGGTGTAGGTTTGTTCTTTATGGCTTGGTTCCGAAAGCCCAAGCCGTGAATGTCTCACAGAACCAGTTAGTCCTCAACTTCCAACACCAACCCACCAACACCTAAACCTCAATCCGGATACCTCAACCGCTTGAACACCCTTTCAAGCACGGTCAGTCGGCTATAAGTAGGCCGGAAACCCCAAAACCCCCACCCCTACAACCCTAAACTTTTGAACCCCTAACCCAGGGCTCCAACCCTAAACCCTGATACCCCAAACTTGAAGCCGGAAACCGAGAGCCTGGACCAGGTCGGTGAAGACAGTTCCCGCACTCAAGCTTTGCGTAGGGCTTTGGGGTTTAGGGGCCCTTTAGGATGAATATACCGAGAGGGTCCATATACGGTATATTTTAATACTATTTTGGAATTGGGTCCCCAACACCATAATGGGGATGGTTGCTTAGGGCCTGATGCTATGATGGTAGTATAATGGGACGCTCTATTTAGGACGAAGCTGAAGGAGACGCGTCAATGCCAAGCCCGAAAATCTAAACGTAGCTATGGGGCTCAGGTACATCAACCTGACTTTGCTCGCAGCACATATTTCTAGAGTTCACACGGAAACGCACCAACAAAACGAACCACAAAACCTGTTACTCAAACCCTAAACCATACACGCCGCACCTAAGCCCTAAACCCAAGGGGCCCAAACATCGCAGATACACCAGGCTCGCAGGCTCGCACAAGCTAAGATGTGCCCTACTTAGGAGCCTCATGTCTAGGGGTCGATTGAATTTCAGAGACTCCCAAACCCCTTATTTAAGTATACCTTAACTTCAGGGCTACGATTATGATTTAAGTTTGTTCCTTAATTAAGAGGGGTTTGGGAGTCTCAGGGAAAACCCTAAACCCTGAACCCCTAAACTGCCTTCCTGACTCCAAAACCCAAGGTTACCAGGACGGCCGGACGAACATCGAGCTGAACTTAGCCCCGAACAAGGAGCCCTGGGTTGGGGGTTTAAGTTTGGGGTTGTAGGGTAGGGGGGGTTTGGGTTTCCAGCCTACTTATAGCCGACTTACCGTGCTTGAAAGGTGTTCAAGGCTTTCGGGTTTCATGGGCCTGAGATTAAGGTTTGGGTTTAGCGTTTAGGGTTTGGGGTTACAGGTTTAGTGTATAGGGTCGATGATTCCCCTTGTTCAGGGGTTGAGGCGTAGAGGTGTAGCTTTTTGTAAACGTTAAGGGTTGGGATGCGGACCTGACGGTTCACCCTGGATTTTGGTATCCTGGATCCTTGCACCCCCGAAACCGCCGTAAACTGCAAAGCCTGCATGAGCCTTACCGAACAAGGTCTAGCATCTAGGGTTCAAGCTATACACATCTGGTCCAGACACGCCCAAAACCTTTAACTCTCAACCTGCAAGCTCTAATGCTTACTTGGGAGTTAGGGGTACCTTATTTTGGGGTCCTTACAATAAGGATCCTACTATTTAGGGTACTATGTTAGGGTCCCCTCTTTTCGGAAACTCCCACTTGAAGCTAAGCTTAACCCCCAGAGCGGATTGAGGGCTTTCATCGGGACCTTTTGGGCTCATCGCGCCCGGTGCTTCAGACATGGGAATAATGAAACAAAGACGCATGCTAGCAGTCATGCTAAATATACCAATACCCCGAAGACCCTAGATCCTGGCCAGTCTGCATATCTTTGGGCATGCAGGAAAGCTTGTCAAAATTGCCGTAACGGCAACTGTCAGGCATCGCTCTCGGACATGTCGAACGCCTGGCACCTTACCCACTTGTGCCGCGACTGCAAAAGGGCCTGCGGCAGGGAGCAACAGGCTTCGACCGCTTGGCAGCAGTCCCAGCAGGACGACGGCTGGCAACAGCCGGCTGGGAGGGCTGGGACGATTCCGCTTGCCAGAACAATTGGGGAGTCCGCTCGTGGTACCAATAGTACCCCCCGTTTTGTTCCAGAATGGCCCGCTTGGCCCTATACACACACCCACGCACAGCCCCGGGCACACAGTCCGTGGATCTTGGCTCCCTTCGCAGGTGAAGTGGTTTCTACGCTTCGAATCCTGTTGTACCCGTCATAATCAAGCTTGTAAGGTAGAAGCCCTGAACAACTAACCCTTCATCCTGAAGACTTAAGCCCTAAAGTAACATAGCGGCCGTTTGCCTTTTTCAGGCCTCTACATTGACGTCCTGAAATTCGTACAACCCTGGACCCTCCAACCAAACGATCTCTTACTCCGCTTAAATTCTAAACCCCAGAATCCTGCTATAAACCCTAAACCCGAAACCCCAACCCCTAAACCCTAGACCCTAGCCCCCATACCCTAAACCCTAAACCCCGAAACAAGCCCACGAGCCTCAGAGCCTCGCGCGCAGGATCCGACCAACGCTGAGGCAGGCTTTGTGGAGAGCCTCACTCCCCAGAATCTTGGTCCGGGACTGAGCTTTAGGGTTTAGGGTGTAGGGTTTAGGGTTTAGGGTTGCTTCAGGAGTACACATAGGCCCCATAGTAGTACCTTGCTGGGGTTCGTATTTAATTAGAATTCCATAAGGTAATCCCAAAAAGGAACTACTATGGGGCCTGTGGGTAAGGTGTTAGGGTTTTAAGTTTTAGGGCTTAGGAAAGTTTAGGGGTTAGTGTTTGGCACTCTTGGGTTAGGGCGTGCGTGCATTGTTGCATGAAGTTCAACAGTGACCTCCAAGGTCTTTCTCTCAACGTGGGACTTTGAGCAATGCGTGTTGGAGAAACTGACTCATGGGGCAAGGCGGTTTACTTGTAACTTTTGCCAGTCCAGTATTAACATCATAGTCCCCACATGACCACATGTATCGGCATAACTTCGGTCGTGATCTCGACTCCCTCGTTATCGAAGTGTGATGTCTCTCTTTATCCAGAACCGTTTCATTTCATCGACTTCGAGTCGTTTGCGTTGTGAGCAATAGCCAATGCAGGATATCTATACAAAGACATACACATATAAGCGCATCTGTATGTAAGCATGTATGCATGTATATACATATATATATATATATATACAGCTTTACGTGTCTTTAGAAAATAGAATTTACCCGAATAATAAGAAATTCAACATATTTGCCGTTTCTTTTCGATCAAGGAGAACCTATTCTCGGCATTATTTGAGAGAAATGAATAGATAATTTGGCAAATTATTAGTTATCTTTTCTGGGTATGGATTCAATATTGTCATATATAGATGGGAAAGATTATATAGAAAATCTAATGATATTTCGAAGGTAAGGATAGAGAAGAATTAGTATTATAAATAATAGAGATTTAATAATTCTCGATTTGGGAGAATATTTATTTTCTTATATATGCGAAGAATTCCGAA